GTCGTCTTAAATTCTCGAACAGACTTATACTCTATTTATTACTAGCTTATGTCCGAGTCTTCATTGGTGCGGAATTAAAAAAAAAACTTAATGGCCTCCATATTCTTCCAGACTGTATTCTAAATCTATGCGAGATCCGTTTCACCGTTCGAGAGATACGTAATATCATACTTCCATCTAAACGCTATATATGTTTCGAAGTTATAATATTACTACATTTATTGCCACTCAACTCCACATAAACACATATCACAATGCAGAAAAATAACGTACGAAAATGAGGTCAAACAAGAACTAATAGAAAAAGTTACGGAGAACGAACAAACGTGATCCTATTTTGTCTTTCCCAAATATTTTCTTATTGTTAGAAGAAAATGCGTTGAAATCATATTATTACTTATAACTACAAAGACTTATTACTTCATTGTTTACTATAATAGGGCTTTCATCTGTTTATGAGACAAAGTTAAACTTTATTTCAATGTTTAAGTTTTACTCAATGTTAATGATATTATATATGCGAATGTTTAGATGGATGATGATAGATGATTTGTAGATATTTCCAGAACGGCTCTTTCCTTTCCCACCACTTTTCTCATAAGGAAAGGATGGGAAGTGGAAGTGGACTTTCCGGATGAGAGGATGCATGAAAAGGGAAGTTGTTTTCTTTCTGTGCATCCTCTCCTCCGTCGATTAAAGGCAGGCAACGCATATGCCATTGCGTACATCCATGGGCAACGGTCACTTCGCTATTATAGGTGGCCGCTCGCTCGTTTGGCACCTCATGATATATAAAAAAGTACATTTTATTATTTAAAAAAATATACTTACACATATGAACTTTTAAAACAATTTTAGTAATAGTATCAGAGTTGCTTAATTGAATTTCATGTTAGCACGTAGAAGTCAAAACAATTAGCAGCAAAAACAAACCTTTAAAAGTTCTTAGAAGACTTGCATCAACAAAATACGTATTTTTGAATAGAAATAAACTACTAAGATTATCTGCAAACTAATATAATGAAAGCTTAACTTCTCCCAAACAAGGATTTATTGAGTTAGTTCCTTTCGAAAGGTAACGTAATCCAATTTGAGCTAACGATGTTGACCGGTTTTTATTCAATAAAATCAGTAACCTCAAATACGAACGATCAAGGTCATTAAATACGATAATAAATGAAGTTTCTTTACAATTTTTAATATAGAATCCCGCGTGTAAGCACCCTTAGTTTACGTGTTACATAAAATTACTAAGTAATATAAACAAATCCTCGCCCTGTTCACAGATTAAGGGGCTCTGGACACGTCTGGTATTATAATATTAGAAAATGTCTCTCAATAATTAAAGATGTATATGTCTAAATATCTAAAATTCCAGTTATTCCATAAATTCCATGCTATAAATTCTAAGCAATAAAATCCTTATGAACAAATCTATATATATAAAAGAAAATTGTGTTAGTTACACTATTTATAACTCAAGAACGGCTTTACCAATATGGCTGAAAATTTATGTGGAGGTAGCTTAGAGCCAGGAGACGGACATAGGTTACTATTTATTCTTTTTTTTCGAATTTATGCCTTGAAGAGCTGCTGTTTATTTTACTTGCTAATATTATAAATGCGAATGTTTAGATGGATGTGATGTGGATGGATAGATGGATGGGTGTTTGAAGATATCTCTAGAACGGCTGAACGGATTTCGATTAAATTTGACATACGTATAGAACATAGTCTGAAAGAACACGTAGGCTGCACTAATTAATTTTTATATATCCACGCGGACGGAGTCGCGGGCGACAGCTAGTATAAAAGAAAATGAAAGATAAAAATGGCATAAATTCTAATCAGTCATAATCTAAGACCAATATGATGAATGTCGATTTGTATTCAAAAGACGACGACGTTATTGAAAAGGCAAGCTTTATCAATAACGCGTCGAGAACAATCGTACAGATTCCAAATTCAAATCTACCGATGATCAGACATGCTTCTCATTTGAATTGAGTCTTGACAAAAGCTATCAAAGAAATAAGATTTTACTCAGAACTAAGAGCTCTTGTTCCAGATGCTTATAACTTATAATCAGTGTCAACGACGAATACTAAATAGAAATAAGGTCAGAGAAATGATGGTGAATTTGTTTTGATGTTAATAATTGGGACAAACTAGAGGTACGTCCACTCAGAGGCTCGGGGCCTTTCTAAGTTAGGGGTGACTAGGGCATAGTCAACCACGCTGGCTAGTGGGGGTAGTGGTAGGGTTGACATCATATATATCTTGGAATTTCTTTGCAGATTTGCAAATAGCATCATGCATTAAATGTACGTATTTATATCTAAAATCGGTAAACACATTAGTAAATGGCGGGATTCGAACTCAAGAGCTTAAGATTCCAAAACAAGTGCTCAACCCCTGAGACACCGCCGCTTAGTCAAGAAAATTATAAATAAATATATTAAGAACATTTAATTCTGTAAAAATTATAACGTTCTCTCTAATTAAGATGTTGGAGTAAATAAGTTTACAATTAATGTGTTTTAAATCTACTTTCAACCGCACCATTAGAATGAACAAAATATTGTTAAACATTTATCTCAAGAAAGTCCCGTCCATTACGGTTGAGCTCTGTAATTGTCTATGAATATTAAACGAAAGAAATTTAAATTTTCGTGAATCCAGAGGGGAGGTCGCTGTAATCTCCGTAAGAATAAACCTTTGGAAATATTTCTTTTATCGAAATGATAAATTAATATAATCTTTGTACGCGATACCAGGTTTTTGACGATTTCAAAATTCAAAATAGGGAGTCGGTGGCTCAGGGGTCAAGCACTTGACTTGCAATCTGCAGGTCCTGGGTTTCGAATCCCGCTATGTACCAATGTGTTTTTCTATTTCTGATTTACATATGTATAATACATTTATCCGACGTTCTTACGATGAAGGAAAACATCGTGATGCAACCTGCACATATCTGGGAAGAAATTCAAAGATATGTGTGAAGTCAAACAACCCGCACTTGACCAGCGTTGTTGACTATGGCCTAGTCACCCCTAACTTAGGGTAGGCTCCGAGAGCATCCGTTGGGACGTATAGTGAGCTGATGATGACAATTTCAAGTAGTGAGATAAATCTCGTAAATCTTTCTTATTATGTCTCTCTTATAAATAAATACCTAAAATGTTATATACTCTTCGATCGACAATTCTTTTAATTAACATAATTTTATTTAGTATTGCATATTGCAATAAAATATAATAACAAAATCGAGAGTTTTGTAAAATTATCGTATACTACCTATGTATCGACTCCGGCCGCGCAGAATTGTAAAACTTAATTAGTAGCCATGTTTTCTACAAGACTATGGTCTATAATACATGTCTGCCAAATTCATCAAAATCCGTTGATCCGTTGAGCCGATGTTATCTTTAAAGTTATCTCCATCACTTGTTTAAACAAACATCTATCCATCTAAAGTTTCGCATTTATAATATTATTGTATATATAAAAAGAACCGGCATGTCTGTTATTATAGATTGTTAACTAAAGTTATACAATTTTAATAAACTACTGTTTTTCTTTGGCATATTAATTAACAATTTTCTCCACTTGTATTAGTTTTAAACTAGCTTTCCATTTAGTTACTCGAACTTATAATGCACTTATTCAAACTGAACAGATGTTTAAATTAATTTTAAACTAACTAATAAGACAATAAAACCTGATTTATTGGGTGAAATATTTTCTAACTCATACTCATGTTATAATAGGAAAATTAGGCATATACGTTTGTAACAAACGCAGTCCTTATTTTAAAGGACATTTTTACTTGTTACTCCGTCCTATATCTTCTTCCAGACTATGTTCTACATCTATGCTAAATTTCAGCGAGATCCATCCATCCATCTAAACATACGCATTTATAATATTAATAAGATGAAGTCGATGTAATTTTGTAGTACATTTAACGATTACTATGTGAACTATTTTTGTAAATACAAAATATTTTCTGAAATATTTTATGACATGAAAATGAGTTTTATTTTTTTAAATAAGGACTCTCACAGAAACTGTAAAAGTTAATGCAAACTGATAGGTTTCTCGGTTAACTTGAGTCATTCAGAAACAATAGCGGTTGGGAAACTTTTGGCTTGAACAATAGAAATTGGAGGGAAATTCAATTGTCGACCGAATTGGAAACCATTCCAATCACTCCTGTGTATAAAGTTACACAATCCAATAGTATCGTAAATCGAGTTTAGGACTCTGTTCGTCGTCAAGAACCATAATTGTATAAAAGAACATTAATTCCTTTCGTTCAATAATCGTAAATGTGACGTTTATTTGTATCTAGCTGTCGCCTGCGACTCCGTCCGCGTGGATATATAAAAAACTTAATTAGTGTAGCCTATGTGTTCTTTCAGACTATTTTCCATACGTATGCCACATTTTTATCGAGATCCGTTAAGCCGTTCTAGAGATATCTTCAAACACCCATCTATCCATCTTAACATTCGCATTTATAATACCTACCTCCTCACCAATTTTCAACCATATCGGTAAAGCCGTTCTTGAGTTGTAAATAGTGTAACTAACACGAATTTCTTTTATATATATATAGATATTCCATTACGTTTCAATGTAATCTTTCTGTAACTTTCTGGTACACTATGACATTAAATATTTTTTATATTTTAAATGCAAAAGTTGTGCTAAAAGTGGATGTGGAGTGGTGGATATTGTTATGAATCTCCTGAACAGATGAACTGGTCTCGTTGAAAGTTTGGAACATAGTTTTGAAGAACACATATGCTACTAATTAAATTTATTCAATCCCCGTGAACGTAGTGGCGGGCAAAAGCTAACGGGTACTAAAGAGCTCAATTACGACGCCTGGCAGTAAGTTTGTAAGTTCTTACAAATTTAAATACTGGGTAATTTACAAAAATTATTTGCTTGGTTACAATCAATCAATATATTTATTAATATAATAGAATACACTAATGACGACGTATACATAAAAGGTAAACGAACTCTATAACACTGAGAAGTGAAGCTCCGAAGAAAACACCACCAACTCCGCCAATGTCCACTGCAAATATACAAATTATATTTATGTTATTTATCATGTGGAGAAACCTAATGACAGGCGACATTTCCCCCTTTCTCATGGGCGCTTATTTCGCGTAGCGTTCCATTTTGAGCACTAAGCGAAAGGAACAAGAATGATTTTAAAGCTTTCGTGGCTTGAGAGCCACTAATGCCGAGCTCCAGCGTAGCATTAAAAGGCACCCGTGTGAATAAGGTAACGCGACGAGATAGCCTACTTATTGGTGTTATGAAATTCTGTTAAATTAACGCACTAAGGTACATATCTATACCAATTCAGAGTCTTACTTCTAACAACGACTTTCAAAGTATATAATAGGTGTTTGGGTTGTCTAATAGTAACTATATAACTCTATATCCTTACCAACAAGACCTAGGGTATCTCTGATAGCAAGTCTTCGCACTCGTAAAGAGGGCAGCTGCGCCAACCTCACTTTACCACGAGTTCCGCGAGACGCCAGTTCACCACTAGCACTGTGTCTACTGCGAACAAAACGAAAGAGAAACCAGAATTAAAATTGAATTAAGAAGAAGAGGGCCATAACTGTGGTTGCTACACTCGGTGACTTTTCATATTGAAGCAATCAATAAAGATACGACAAGAAAGATAAATGATGCAAAAGCGAATAGCAATTTTTCCGTTCATGGTTACGTTGCGGCATTTTTAACATGAAACGTAAGTTGTGTTAGGAAGAAAATCCGACACTGTGCCGGTGTACTAGCGCAACACTAGCCTTACTAAAACGTCGACGTTTATGTCCCCTCACTAATCATTCTGACACTGAACTTTGCAATGAAAACGCGCCATTCGCGCCAAAGGATTCCAACTAATAATGTCTAACAGTTGTAATATGTAAATATCGATATTCAATATTCATAAATAATTACAAATACTTACACAAAAAATTTGTGAACCAGTTTATAAAGTATTTCTTCGCATCCCATCGGACAACTGCAGGTTGGGTTTTCAAGTGATTCTGTTTATGTACAGTAAATTTTACAAATTAATAAATAAACACGATTCAAAGTAATATAAAGATCCTCCATTTGACACAGACAATATTACATTATTTACCTTTATTTTGGTTGAGACAAATCAATCCTTGAATACCGCAGACTGGAATATCACCTGTAAATAACTACGAAATTAAGTGAAATATATTTAGTAGACACAATTTTTAAATGTTATTTAAAAAGACCACTATAATTTGTAATTACAAAGAAGCCATGAAACAAAATTGAAGGCCTGACGAAAGTCTAGTTAAGACTAAAGAACAGACTAGGATGCTACAAAATCGGACCTCTAGGTACTGAGTTATCGACGAACAAGAATAAACAGACGAATTGAGAACCTCCTCCTTTTTGAAGCTAGTTAAAAATAACCCTCGATCGATTCCAACTTACCTATCTTGGGCATAACATGATATGTGCAATTACAGAGTTCATATTGAGCCATAGCCCGGCAGTACAGTACGCAAGCGCTGTACGAATACTTCTTAAAAGGCCACTTATCAGCGAACGCCGGGCGCTCGTGCTTGTATAAACAGCCGCGGACATCAGGATGTAGTGCTGTGACTGATACATCGCTTACTGTTTGTTCTGCCTGGAAAAAATCTGGATCTGGATTTCTTCATCACACTTAATCGATCAGAGCGGAATAGGGAAGTGTTCAACTTTGAAATCACCACGTGTTGATCTCGTGAACCATTTTAGTAGTTTTTTTTTTTCAATTAGGAAGGATTTACATAAATTTACATATTCACCAATCAATAATCGTTTTTCTCCAATGAGAGGATTAAAAAGAATATTAATAAGAAAGTTTGTTAAGAATTGAATTTTTATCAAATCAAGAAATAGACTTAAGAATAAAATAATAGACCTCAAATCATGAAACAATACCTTCAATATAACTTCAACATCAGTGACTAACGGTATCGAGGCTGATGAGCCGAGAGCATTGTCCATCATAACTGACACCACGTCATCTGGTCCATGTACTCGAATCTTAAGACCCAGTAAACATAAGAAACCCTCTATAGGTAGAACACAAGTTGAATAACAAACTCAAGTTTTAACCTCAGGACATACATTGATTCTAGTAATAGATTAATACTATGATTAAATAAATATTAGAAGATATGTGCTGCATCAACTTACCCAAATAGCTTCAATAGCGGTGAATACAAGAGTTGGCAGTCCAACGCGCCGATTAACTATTATCGTGCTGGAATTGTTCCCCGTTAGACCTGAATTGAAGCTATAACATACGCCGTACTCCGTCTCTACCGCTGTAAATCTGGAAATCAAGAAAAAGGATCTCTGTTTTGTATTTGTTATTTATTTTTGTCCAAGTTTTTCACAAATGAAAACCGAAAAAAATTGTTTTTGTGTGGACAGAACAGATAAAGTACAATTTTTACTACAATGTACTCCGTACTTTACAATTCTTGACAACTATTATAATTTTTAATTATCATTTATAACCTGTCACAACATCGAAATGGCTTCCCATCCCACCAGCAATCGGTCAATATCTGGTTACACTTAAGCCGCATGTGACGAACCGGTTCTTCGAAGTCTTGTACACAGGTCACATTCGGCTTGTAATAACTACAGTGTTTGCAATACTTCGCATTCCAGTATACAACCTCCTTGTAGAAATTCGTCAATGATATTGGTAGTTTATTCCTGTGAATAACATCAACTTAAATCATCTATGCAATGATATATTCAAATAAATTTACTAAAGAGGTGGTAATAGAACTTGGATATTTAGAACTATAATTTTACCAAAACTAAAATAACCCATTCTTCGTATAAAAATCATTCGTTAGAAATGTTTGCTTCAAAACATTCTTTAGCTACACACAGAAGGAGGGACGAAAGAGAAAGAATGTTTTCTAGCTATATACCAATGTTCATTGTTTGTCAACCTCCAATCCGGTAACAATAATGAAGTAACAGCCCGAGCCGAGGCTCCTGAAGGAGCCCTCGAGTCTTGTTACTCTTAAACGAGGTTCAGGCTAAACGCTATCTGCGTTCGGCCACCTCAAGCCCGGTAAAGCTGTAAATGCCTCTTCAAGGCAAACAGTGACTACTCAGTCACAAAAAAAATTATTGTCAACCTGCTGTTATAGTCCCAAAAAACCACATACTATTTTGGCAGAACTGTTTCCATTGTCAAATTAGCGACCCAGAAATTATAGATTTACAAAAGCATTATTAAGTATAACTTACGCAACAAGGTAAGCTTTAATACGTTCTGTGCTCGGGGACTCGCATATAGTGAGCGTTGGGAACGGCGTATCCCAATCCAGATAATTAGTTTCCACCGAAAATGAGACCGCGTCCTCCGAATATAAGCTTAGTGACGACCGCAGAATTACCAGTGCTCCCAAACTGCATACTGTCAATATTGTCAGCCAGAATAATCTGAAATTTAGTTTGCTGCATAAAATTCTACGTCATCAAGTCATAGGCTCAGTTTTTGGAAGACTGACCAAACAATTATACAATGAAATCTTTTGTTTCTTTGGTTGCGTATCAAGTTAGTATAAGATTTTTTTCTTATTTACACTGAAACTATACACAACACAAATTTTATTAAAAGTCGCTAAACTGCACAGCACGGTTAGAAGGGCTTTTAGGACCCTTTTAATTAGTAATCAATTGTACGTTAAATTGATCGACTTTTCAGAATCCAGGATAAAGAATAATTAAACAGATCTACCTTTCAAACCAAGAAATTCGAGATCTGGAGAAAATATGTCTCATACCATGAAAACTACTTTTATCTCCGAAGAAATTGATTTTCTTTTTAATATGATTCATGGTGAAATTTATAAATGTAACAAAATATTGTTCAAAGTAAAAATCTAACAGCAAAATTGTGGTGTCACCGTTTTTTATAGCATTTCATGTCGCTAGAACATGAGCAGGTAATGCACTTTGTATGTTACACATTGTAAAATATGTCATATAATTTTATTAGTCACGTAGAATTTCCCAACTAAAAGACAGTGATTTTCGCGACCACTTATGTATGTATATAGGTGGCTCAGTAAGAGCGTCGGTGGCTCAGTGGTCAAGCACTTGACTTGCAATCTGCAGGTCCTGGGTTCGAATCCTGCCATGTACCAATGTGTTTTTCGATTTCCGATTTACATATGTACATTTATCCGACGTTCTTAAGGTGAAGGAAAACATCGTGATGCAACCCGCACATATCTGAGAAGAAATTCAAAGATATGTGTGAAGTCAACCAACCTGCACTGGGCCAGCGTGGTTGACTATGGCCTAATCACCCTTAACTTAGGGTAGGCTCCGAGCCCCTCGGTGGGGACGTATAGTGAGCTGATGATGATGATGATGATGGTACATTCCGTAGACCAAACGGCAAACCGATTTTTCTGAGTGAATTTATTGTAATAAATAAAAAAAAAATTTTAATAATTAATTGAATAAAGTTTAAGTTCGGAAACTATTAATTCTATTATTTGTTATCATTTTCAATAACTTGGTCCTTTGTAAGATTTCTAATCGGACACCATTGTGTTACTATGCTATATCACACGTGATAACTCAGATAACGACCCCAGTTACTTCTTATCATTGTTATAATTTGTTTCTGAATTTTGCTACTTTTATTATTCCAAAGATACAATGACGCATTCAAGGTCAATTATGTTATTTTATAACGATTCGCGTTGAAAGAGGATCTAAAAAGTTTTTTTCAGAGGGGATTGATTTATGCGTACTTCGCGTCTCAGGGGGACACGGTAGTTATTTGGGATTCTCTTCCCGACAAATAGCATACCTACTAAACCCTCTATTCCTTTCGTCCATATTACGCTGTCGCACTCCTCCGCGAATAGAGAAGCTAACCTAACATAATCGAACCCGCCGGGCCATGGATAAACTAACGTAGATGCCACGGTCCGGTTGGGCGTAGGAGAACACAGCGGCGTTTACAGGGTAGTCCGGTCTTGTTCCCAGGCCGGGAGTCCCACACGAAACCGTCCTTGCTGCCCCCGCAGCGAAGTGCATAAACGCATTCCCCGCGTTAACATAAAAAAACATAATCGAACCCAACCTAGCACTAACTAATTTGACAAGCTATTAATATAATTTTGGTAAAAAAAAACAATTTTTGCTTGAGCCAAATTTGAGATCAAGACATAATTGGCATTACATTTATAATAGTATAAAAATTGTTTTAATTAACTTATATTACTCGATCGAAAGTCTTACATCATTATTCTTATGATTGTTGTTAAATAGTTATCAATGATCGTGTTAAAACATTGCCTTATCACAAACACATACACCGACTTGCATGTTTACACAGAAATCCAATTCTTTATAACCAACTACAATCATACGTTTGCTATCTCAGTAATAGCAGTACGATTGGAGTGACCGTACACGACGCGCCTGCGCAACATAAAAAAAATGTTTAAAAATAGAACGATTTAAAAAAACTCATTCCCTCAGAAGTGTCAATTGTGTTCCATTTTCAAAATTATGAATGTAATTTGTTATTTAGAAATTGTGTAAAACAGAGAAGAAATGATCGCGTTTAGTAAAGTTGGAGTGAGACAGTTGATCAAGTGGAAGGAGTACAGTGCGTGTCAACGGATCAAATACCATTCTGGTGCGGGAGTGTTCGGGCATCGACCGCGAGACATCAACGAAGCCGGTATGGAAGTTGGAAGGACGCAACATGTGTTATTTAGATCGAGTTATACTAGTAAAAGTAGTCTTAAGAAGTAAATAAACTGAAAATACTGGTTACTCGGTATATTAAAAATAAACCTACATATTAAATAAATCAAATACGAGGAGTATTTAGCTCTAGAAATTTTTATACACCCATCTACTCACTAAAATATATTTTAAAAGTCTTTTAAATATCAACTGAACACTGGTATTTATCAAGTAACGTTTGCAGTAAACTCTTGAGAAGAACGCTGCATAAAAAGTAATATCCCATAAAAATATATACTCGTTCCATATTGCATTATGACCCAGTGTTGACCTGTATTGAAATACAAAATAAAACTATCGTATTTAATCTTTATTTATAACACAAAAATTGGTAAAAACTTTGTGATCAACTCCGATAGTAGCAATAGTTATAATCTGTGTATGTTGAAATTCAGATATTCCAGAAAGCCTTATTGTGAAAAGGTACGAGAACTGTCGGGCGCAACAACTAGTTAACGCTTATCGGACATACGGCCATCTGAAAGCTTCCATTGATAATGTAGATTACAAAAATGATAAAAGGTAAAATAAACTATCAATATATTATTCAAATTATCTACTGTTCCTTATTTAAAATTGTTTTTTTTTATTTAATGTCGAAGTCTTGCAACCAGATTCTATTACTACATATCATTGGTTTTTTTTTTTAGCACAAATGTGAAAAGATTATGTTTTTGGCCATATATTTCGGGGACAGATTATTAAATTATTTTTTAAATATTTATTTAAAATATTAAAAACAATTTCAGATTAGTAAAAGAATTGGATCTGACGAGGTATGGACTCACTCCACAGGATTACGTTGATTTGGGATTGTTGTACGGATACGACGGCAAACAGACGGCACAGCAACTTGTTGAGCGATTGGAAAACATCTATTGTGGAAATATATCTTACGAATTTTCATACTTAGAAGTAAGTTCGCTAAGTTGTAGCCAATATTAAGCTTAGTGTTTAAAATTTTATGAGTTTTTACAAGATCACACATGGATCATGGGAACACTTAATCGGTTTATTTTGGTGAAAAAATGAGCTTTTTTGGATCTGAGTGGATACTCTTGTTACAGTAAAAGATTTGCAAGTCTTATGGTAACTTTGACTTGAATTGAACAACGATTTGTTGATCGAAGCCTGTTAAAGTACCTCATTTTTTCTGCAACTTGTCTTTTCGTTCCTTAATAATATTTAGTGACATTATTTTGAAATATTAATGGATTTAATATTTTGATTGTCATTAGACAGAAGCAGAAAGAGAATGGTTTGCTCAACGCATCGAAGCCAGCTCAGATCTAATTGATAATGAAAGAAGAAGAGAAATTTTAAAGGAACTTCTACATTCACAAGCATGGGACAAATTCTTAAGTGTAAAGTTCCCTACAGTAAAACGCTATTGTGGCGAAGGCGCAGAATCTCTACCAACATTCTTTTCTACTTTATTTGGTTTAACAACTGCAGGTTTGTAACTGTTTAGGCTTTCAATTAAATTAAGTATGACATTATATAAGTTAGAGCTCTTTCTTCAATCAGCAGCACTCAAAATCATGACTTAAGTAATCTTTAAATTAATTAATGTACAAAATTAAATAACTAGACTAATTACAGCAAAAACAAAAACCAACTTGTCGTGTCATCGTATGAAATACTAGCTGTCACGCGAGACTCTGTCTGCACGGAATTAAAAAGAAACATAATTAGCCTATTTGTTCTTCCAAACTATGTTCTACATCTGTACCAAATTTCATAAAGATCCGTTGAGCCGTTCTGGAGATACCTTCAAACAAACATCCATCCAACCAAACATTCGCATTTATAATATTAGTAAGATTGTTAAAGGCATTTAATTTGTCACATGAAGAACTATATTACTCTATCGCCCTCAAACTCAACTCAACTCAAGTTTTACAATTTGTATAACATAATTGCAGAAGGAGTGCAACAAGTGATCCTTGGTATGGCACACAGAGGTAAACTTAACGTACTAAGCGGTTTATTAAAGTGCCCGCCTGTTAAAATATTCCACAAGTTCACTGGCAAACCTGAGTTCCCGTCTGAAGCGAACGCTGCCTGCGATATATCAACACATCTGAGTAAGATTACCACACTTAAACTTGGGTCATTTTATTTTTAAATAAAAGATATCGTTAAAATGAATAAATTTCAGGTGCATCGGCTGACATAACAATAAATAACAAAACAGTAAGGTTTTCTCTACTCAACAATCCATCACATTTAGAGGTATGCACACATCACACTTAATTTAGTAATATTGTAATTTTTTTTTAATTTATTAAAATGTAATTATTTTAGGCAGCAAATCCGGTATCCATGGGAAAAACACGATCGAAGCAATTAAAGTTAAAAGAAGGCGATTATTCGGAAGATGGATCGTCAAGAATGGGAGACAAAGTGCTTAATGTTCAGGTAACTTTTACTTAGTATGAAATTAAAAAGAAAATTTAACTGAAAGTGACCTCACGATATAAACAATTATTTACACGGTACAAAAGATCGATTCCTAGGTCCCAGAATTCCAATTTTATGGATATCAGGAAACCTTAATTTATAGTGTTAGAATAAAAATTGACAGAGCAGCTAATATGAAAACAATTCCTTTGAATCAAGTATCAAATTTAAAAAAGACTATTTTCAGATTCACGGTGATGCCGCTTTTACTGGCCAAGGCATAAATCAGGAGACCCTGATGCTATCGCAAGCTCCGCACTTCGATGTTGGCGGATCATTACACGTTGTTGTTAACAATCAGGTAAGTTATTCATTCTTTACCTTATAAACTTTATTGGATTCTACATATAGAGCGTACTCTGAGAGAATAGTGACGTAATTTTCTGCAAGAAAAAGATTTGGTTTGGTAACAATCTTAATAGCAAAAGGGAACTTGATCAAGAACAGAATGTCACCTAAAATGTACCTTCGAACTTCTAATTTGTACGTCTTTTTAATAATATAAAAATACAAATAACAATTGAATTCTAGAACGAAGTTTTATGTTATAATTTTCAGGTCGGGTTCACTTTGCCGGCGGAGCGCGGTCGGTCGTGTCGGTACGTGACGGACTTAGCGAAAGCCATCTCTGTACCGGTGATACATGTCAACGGAGACCATCCAGAGGTAAAATTTATCTTAGTCATCTTCCCTCCTAATCCCATTCACGTCAATCTATCTTCCGTCATTTCATTGTTGAAACTTACGAACAAACAGAAAGAAAGGTATTTATATGGCACATACTAAATGATGCTACATTACCAAGGAAAAATAAAGGATATTAGTGTTTAATATCTTTCATATTAAGGAATAAAGTAAAAAACGTAAAAATGGAAATTTGTACTCCATAAACATATCCTTACAAATATACTATACGAAGTACTTCTCTTATTTATATTATTACATCAATGTCGATATGCAAACGATGATGGTTCTCTTTATAAATATTACTCTCAAATAACAGCGTTATAAAAACATTTTATATTTTTGCAGCTAGTCGTAAAAGCGACGAACATAGCGTTTGAATATCAGAGACGTTTCCGTAAAGACGTTTTCATCGACTACAACTGCTTCCGACGCTGGGGTCATAACGAGCTTGATGACCCAACATTCACCAACCCGCTGCTTTACAAACTTATTCATAGTAGAAAGTAAGTATAGAGACGTTCCATCTTATCCATGTAGCTTTCGAATCAGCAACGTTCGGCGTAACATCTATTTAGTTGTTTTATATCTTTAGTTTTTCTTTAATTACCATAAATTCAATTCGATGGAAAGACAAAAAGTCTGGTTGAAGTTACTGAAGTCTTTTGGATAAGAGGATCAAGAAATTGGTGTTGATGCAATTTTACTATAACGTTTAGATTAGTCCAACAAACTGCATATTTTAGTAACTTAGCAACTTACTAATGGTAACTTAGCAGTTAGATTAAAGGTTAAAATATATACGAACATAAAATTAACAAGTTTTAGAGAAGACAACAATTTGTGTTCAAATTAGGGAGATCTGTTTTCACTTATTCCTATCGTGAATGTAAATTTGTTTACAGATCGATACCGGATCTGTACGCCGCGAGGCTTGTTTCAGAAGGTTTGCTAAATCAAGACGATGTGGATAAAATATTCGTGGACTATACCAAATATTTGCAAGCACAATTCGAATCTGTCAATTCTTATACGCCTGAGGTAAAAAATACAATTGTTGAATTGTAATTTTGATACCTTTCTTCGCCTACAGACTTTCCTTATCTTCATATTTCATAAATTATATCAAAAAA